TTTTAACAAAACCATTATACCCTGATTTCCCATTTTCAATGGGTTCAGGGTATAATGATAAATTGAGTGCACGCCTTGAATTGATTTACCGTTTCGTGCGTGTAAACAAACCCGTCTACATTCAGAACTGGGATAATGTACCAATCGTGGCTCTCGGCTAATTCACGCACCGATTCGTCTTTCGAGGTGAGCAGCTCGTTGATCAACCATGTGGCCGTGGCGGAGGTGATCCATTCGCGTGCATGAATATTAGATTCAATGAACACGCCTGGATTACCCCATTTATACGAGATGCGTATTCCGCGTATATCCCGACCTTCATAGGACTGGCCGAGGACAAAGCCCATGGTAACTTCCGGGTAATTTGCCAAAACCGTATCCAGCCAAGCGTCGATTTCAGTCAAGTTATGGTAGCGTGTCCAGCCAAACGTCGCGTCAGCTCTCGTGCCCGCAGTGTTCTCCTGGTCAATCAAGCTGAAAATGACTTATTCATTTCCAGAAAATTAACTATTTCACCTGTCTAAACTTACTCCTGCACATTGGCAATAAACATTTCAGCCGTTGCGTTGACAAGTCTTAATTTTTCCTCGAATAGGGGCAACGCACTTGGCGCGACCATCAGATTACACTCAGAGCCGTCATCGTGCCACAAGCTGAATTGCTATGAAATTTTGATCACAATAGCATCAGGCTTTCTTCTTTTGGGTAATACTTACGTTTTGCTTTACTTTAGTTAAGTCGAGCAGACTCTGTCGCTGCATAGGTGTTTTGTACTTGATCCTAAAAACTCGATAGTCGTCATAGCGCACCTTCTCTTTAGTTTCCCGTTTTTTAAATACGCTAGCCCCATTAGTTAGCGAAATAATAATTATTATAGCCAATAGTATGTACGGGTTCATCTTTTCTGCTGGGGCTTTGCTTGCTGAATACTGCTTATTTACAGAAGTGTTAGAGCAACACTCCATAAACATTATTACCACATAAAGATATGAGCTGTAGAATTTACTAATCGCACTACCAATTGCCCCGATAACGGCTTGATGACTACTTCAAATACACAGCCAATTGTAACAGTTTTGAGTGCAGTTCGTTTGATGGAGTGGGACGCTTGCCAATAATCACATTATAACTTGCTAGTCACCCTAGCACAAGAATCAGCATATCATAGCTTTTACGTAGAATCAATCTACGGTCTAAGATCTTTTTGATTCTGAAGTTACCCCGTTTAAAAAGTACTTATAAGCCCGCAATAAGTTTTTGACGAGTGGAAATATTAAAGTTGTTAATGAAGATTGCTTTGCGTTTATTGAGCTCAATTTAAAGGCTAGAATAGTCGCTAAATTCCTTTTTTGTTTGTGTCAAGCTGAAGAAGGAAGGGACTCAAATTAGTTGTCCTTCCTGCACCCTTCGCCGCAATCTGAGCCTTCGCAAATGTCACAAAGAGAGGATTTCACCTGGTAGTATTCGGTGGCACGCCGATCCGTGTCGTAATAGTCGTAAAGGGAGACAGCGGCTGGCTTTTGCTTGGCCACCGAGTGCGCACGGACGCCTTCCACAGGTAAACACTTAACATCGCCTGGTGTCAGGCTGTCGAAGTAGATAATCACCGTAGAATCTGAGTTCTTAGTTTCGATGCGCTTGACTCTGTCAACATCCTGAATTTTACCAAAGCTATCCGAATCACTGATGAAACCTGAAGGTAGGGCTACTTCCATAACGGCCATGTTGGAGTCCTTCTTCTGGTCGCTCGCCTCGAGAGGTACGTATTCAGCGCAGACCTCTAGGGTCAATTGCTGCATGGGTGTGTCCTTGACAGTGGGTGTTACCTTGAAGCTGGGCTTCTTATCCTTTTCAGCTAAATTATATCGGTATGACAACTGCACCATTGCTGAGCCTTGGCCTTTCGCAGTAAAGTTAATCTTACGAGTGCTCTTTGGTAGAATATGGCTTTGAAGCACCAGTGAGTTATCTGGATTCACACTAATGGTACCATTATTGTCGCCATTGGAAGACACAAAGTCAATGTCAACGGTGCCAGTGCCAGAGCCGGCCTTGAAGGCGAACTTAGTCAGCGCCTGCAGCCCAATGACCGTATCCTGTGTGGAGGAAAAGCCGCCGTTGCTGTTACGCTGAGCAATAAGCCATTTGATGATTGGCAGAGTATCTTCAGCCGGCGCTTCCTCTAAGAGAGCCATCAAGACATAGGAAGTAATTTCGACATCGTTGCTGCTGGGACGCCAAGTTCTAAAGCCACTTGTCTCAGTAGTCGGCTTTTCAGCCGATTTCGACCACCACTTACGGCCATCCTCCAATTTGGCAAGGCTCTCAAGCTTGTCTAGAACCTTTTTGGCCTGAGGATGTTTGGCCAATTGCAGAGCAACAGCCGCTATCGACAGGGAGTACTGATCATCGGTTTTATCCACTTCTTGGGCAACAAACTGAAGACCCTTGTGAATTGCTTGCTGATACTCTGATTTACCCGTGAATTCCTGTTAGAGAGGGAGAGACAGAGTTAGTAATATTACAGCGTGCTCATCATTTACTTACCTTATTTTCAAAGAACGCAATGAGCACAAACGATGTGAGTCCCAAGGCGTTCTGATTTGCATTGTCAAACAATTTGCCAACCTCGGGAAATTCGCCATTCTCTTTTTGCGTCGATACAAGGAAATTCAAGCCCTGCATTATTATCGCGGGATCGACGTCCGTGTAGTTGGCAGCTTGATGGAAGGACCGCACAACATACGCTGTTAACCAGGTGCTGCCTGACTTATCCGATTTGCCGAAAGCGCTGTAGGAGCCATCATCGTGTTTATATGTTAATTCACGCTGGTAGCCGATTTCGAGGAACTTCTTTGCCTTGGCCACTACACTCGGCATTTTCCGATTGGTGACCTCAAGGTATTTGACAACCAGAATATTGGGCACGAAGTTAACCATATTCTGCTCTCCACAACCGTAGGGCTTGCGAACCAAATTGTCCAAGTTCTTTATGGTGGGTCCCAGCAGATCACCGACTACCGAGAACTCTATAAATTCAGAGTCTGGAACAGCTTCGGTGGGTATATTCGCGTTCAGCTCCTGGCTCAATTCAGACTGATTCATCAGATTAACGAAGACGGCTACATTTTCGAACTGTGTAACACCTTCCGGTTCGACCTTCAACTTCTGATGAATCGTATCGCCTGCCAATGGAGTTGTGGCTGTGATCTTCAACGTAATAGATCCCACTCTATTGGGGCGTATCATAAAAGAAATACTCTGCCCGTTATTGGATGGTACGGTAATACGCTTAACTCGTTTTACATCATCTATTGCCTTCTCCTCAACCTCGTTAGTAGCCTCAGTGAACTCGAACTCCTTGTCTGAATTATCCATCGTGACTTCAGCGTCAAGTGCCTTATCCATATAATTGAAAATAATAACGGGTATGGCAATGACCTCACCTGGTAACCAATATGAAATTATTTTGTTTTGAATACCTTTTACGATAAAAATACGTCAACTTTTAGTTCTTACCGCGCTTCACTGAATACGGAAGATTGGTAGACACAAAGAATGGCTGGAACACTCGAATCTTTCTTGGATTCTTGGTTAGAGCAATGCCGGTTCTTGGGTTTAGAGAAAACCCAGTTATAACCCATGATGTGATTGTGTCCGGAATCTTTCGGACCAGAGTAAAGCCATCACCATCATCACTGTTAAGGGAAAATTATATAATGTACAGCTTTAGTTTTACAAATATAGATATTTCTATTATCAACAGTCTCATTTTAAATCAAGCGCAAAGCGGCACACCAATGATTACAAAATAAATGGGCCTTATCCTCTACGATGTTTAGCAATGAATGTAACTTATAAGCACAAGCTCGCGTCAAACGATTAAATTAAGCAATACCAGTTAATATGAGTTGAGTTTGGGGGTTAGAACTTTTCTGTATGCGAAATTTTTGTGTACGTTTTAGTTAAATTTCCATGAAATATCCAAGTTTCCATAAATATTTCGCGTACGCCGAAAATCTTTTGTGAACCGTATGTCTCTTCATCAGAAAAATTCGGTTTCAGCGTGGTGGTTTTTCGAATTTTGTTGGTGCTTTGCCTTTCCCCGCTGACTTTCATTATGGGTATGATGCCCGAATCCAGTTTTTTTAAGTTGTTAACTTTAAATGTAGATAAATTATATTAATAATTATAGCGTTAGTTAGTTAGTTTGTTGGGGTGCCATGTTAGATCATGTTGAATTCGTGCACGCACTTGTTATACTCGCAAAATAAACTTTTTTGGTGTTCAAGACTCAACCCGCGGTATCATCGCCTATTCAGTAAATGCTAATTACGTTATATTGCTTGTAAACATCCAAGTTTCGGGGAACTCTTTTCGAACTTGAGGGACGACTGCTGGAACTGATCCTACTGACCCAACAAGGAGTTGAGTTCCTGCAGAAGGTGGACTTGGTAAGCCTCCAAAAGCGACTGCTAGGCCAGATTCCGGCCTGAATGGACTCGGAAGCAGATTATAAAGTGGACGATAATATGGTATATCTAGGAACAAATTCATCGTTTTATTCATGGTATATTACAGTAGCCTTCAAAAGTCAACGTCCGTATAAAAATTGCTCCTGTTCATTCCGGTAAGTGCTCTATATATTAATATATAGAAGTGCGCTGCTCAGGTGAGGATTATTGTATTATTGTGTCTGAGTTAGTTCAATACCCAAATTATTTCATGTAAATATAGTAAAAGTGTTGAAATTACATAATATTGTCTGCGAATATCCAAACTTCGGGAAACTCTTTCCGAATATGAGCAGTAGCTTTCGGTGGAGAAGCATCTGGTCCTATAAATCCAGCCCTACTTGATTTTTTTTCAAATTCAAATGCGGACGGTACAATACGCAGTGGATGTCGCAACAATCTAATACCTATGCATAAATAGGGAATTTTAAAGCATTCTACTTCTGCATACAAAAGCCGTAAAGGGACCATAAAGAAAATACAAGAAGACATTTTCAGATAGATTCAAGGCCAGAGAAAGAACTCAGATCAGATTCACCACATAAATTTCATGGCAGAACGGAATGATTAAAATTTAATGAGACCATATAGATCGGGCTATAGATCAAGCATGTTGTCAGATAGCATTCATGAATGCTTCAAAAGGATTCTGATTATGGCACGTGAGGCTCTACCAAAATACAAAGGCCTTATAAAGATCTAGTAGGAAACCAAAAATCAAATGATAGGAATATTATATGACTAGAAAGCCCCGAAATCTTGAAGAGAAAGCTAAATAGTTAGGTCAAGAGGTTTTATACTTCTCCATGTTTTCAAATATCCAGCTTTCGGGAAACTCTTTACGTATTTGAATATTCTGTTCAGAAGAGAAATATTGTACGCTATCTAGTTCAAGTGGCACAATGTTCTCTGAAACTACATGAAAAATACAATTATTGATAAAATAATATATATGTCAGATGGTCGACCGACCAAAAGCTCTAGCATACAATATTTTCTAGGCACCCATAATTGACATGATTAGAGTTAGTTGTAACGCTTATTCCATACTGCATTTATATGCTATTGCAGTGCTTCATTGATATATTGTAGTTAGTTGTTTACCCAAAGCGATAACTTTCAGAAAAGAGATATACTGGTTTCGCAATTACGTTGTCTTGTTAGCAAAAATCCAAGTTTCTGGAAATTCTTTGCGAATTTTGTGGGTAGTTGGAGGAGCTGCAGGAATCTTTGCCGCATAAAGATGGTTTATCGCTGGCAAAGCCGATCCTCCCATTCTAAAGCCAGGTGACATAGAACTCAGAGCAAAGGAGGTATATAAAGGAAGGGCCATGGCAAAAAGTCTAATACCTAAATACAAATTGGTTCGATTAGTGCAAACTGCAGATGAGTATAAATGACTTATACCACACAATTATCCTCCTAATTGAAATAAATAAACTAGACTCGTAAATAGAATTAAAAACCTTTACATCTCCTCAAATATCCAGCTTTCGGGAAAGTCTTCCCGAATTAGCATTTCGTCTTCGAATAAGGTATCATCTTCTTAGAATACTTCTATGGCTTCAGTGGCCTCTGTATATTCGCCACTAGGATACTCTATTAAAAATACATAACCAAGTAAGGAAGTAGATTGAGAGGAATTAAAGTACCTCAACCTTAGTTGACCATGTCTGAAGAATTAAAATAAGTGTAATTGTGTGTTAAGTAAGATCTCGAAACTATTGTGTTACTCTGCTTAATACCGTCTTCATGCTTTATGTTTTAAGGCGAGAACCCACCTCATATTGGTGAATTGCCAAATCCAAACCTCTGCAAAATTCTTGCGTATCAATTTATTTCGATCCTCTGTTTTAGGCACTACAACGTCTTTGGTAACAAAATCATTGATTGCTTCTTCTTCCTCCTGAGCTTCTAGGTATATTTCAAATTCAACTTCGCCATCGACTGCATCATATGATCGTGTTGCTAAAATTTGTACACCAACAAACAGTTTCATTCATAACGCAACCTAATTTTCATTTGTTGTATGCCTAGCCCGTCTAAAATTCCGTATAGTTGTCAAATACCTTCCCTTCCCTTGTTCTATAATAATCCTTGTTCAGGACTCGTGTCCCTTAGCTTACCAAAATTGTACGGATAGTTGGCGTTGGTAAGTGTGACCAGCCCGGATGTCTGTCCTGGATAGCGGCCATATCCCGATTGCCAGGGTGTAGATGTTTTGTACTTGTCAAGACTATCAAAAACAGCATCGCGAGCCAAATCATTTCCAGACTTCAACAACAGCACACTTTGATCAACGCCCAGCAGACCCACATAGGAATCAGCGTCTGTTTTGATTTTCAACTTTACGTCCTCACTGGGCTTCGCCTCCAATGGGGAAAAGATCTCGATCTGTGCAGAAATTCCAACTGTTAATAGAAAACGAAACATTTATACTCAAGCTGCCTACCGAGTTATCGAAGTCCTTCTCGAAATCAACTGTCCGCTCTTCGAAGCGCAACTCGTTGTCAAAAATGAAAAAAACGTAAATCGAGGCCTGTGGCACCATCGCAAACGTGGGTGTGAATTTAATGGTGTGAGTCTTGCGTCCTTCAGGGACATCGACTTGTTCGGCCTTGACAATATTTCCACGAGCAATGATCGCGTAGACGAAGTATGGAATGTGCTCGTTAGACTTCACATCGAAGGAGACGTCTTTGCCCAATTTTGGACTAAGGTATCAATTATTAATATCTGTGATCAAGACTAACACTATCTAGAGGCACCTACGTTTTGGTGTTCACAATTATCCGGAGCGGCTCAGCACTTTCAATAGTCGGTTGAAACTTGTGAATGGAACCCAAGTAAGAGCTCGATTCATCATATACGCCTTTCACATTATAGAAACGGGTGTCGTTTACGGGCAAGACTACGTCGAAGGTTGCGATTCCGTGCTCGTTTAAGAGAGCGTCCCATTCAATGCTTTTGAGGTCGGTTGAGTCATCGGATCGGTCAAAGTTGAAATATCTATGAGGCGCTTCGAGTACCAGCTTAGCCTTTTTCAAACCACCCTGTACAGGGGAGCCATCTAAGTTTTTAACCACAAACTGATAGACAAAGCTCTTGCCTGGATGATAATTAGTTACAGCGTTAACTGCCTCAATTTTGTAGCGCTGGGAGTGCACAGTCACAGTTGATGAAGCATTTTGCTTGTTGCCCGTCAAGTCCTCCGTAACTTCCGCAAAGATTTTCAAGGGCGGTGTGTAACCAGAGCCATATGCTGACTTTTCAATGGGGAACTCCACATGAGCTTTGCCATCGATGTCGACAGTTTTCATTCGTTTCGATTCAGAGTTGATCGGCCTGTAGTAATTGTAGTCTTCTTCAAGTGAGACAGTCGCCTTGCCCTTCACCGGCTTGCCATACGTATATTTGGCTCGAATTGTGGCCTTGACTACGCCATCTTGAACGGCGACATCCTTGGCTGACTCTACCACTACCTCGAATTTGGGCAGCACGTATTTGGCCACCTCAAAGGACTTGCTTGCAGCTGTGTCATCGGCGACATTGACAGCAATGCTCCACTTTCCCAGCACCGGCTGCTCCGACAGTTGCAGCTCTCCCGTGTAGACTCCCTTCGTCAATCGAACATTGGTTAGTTGCTTAATGCGATTTTGCTCTCCATCACTGATGGCAATCGTGATGGGCTTATCAATCGCTGCAGGTCGCGTGTTCTCATCTAGAAATAGCACTCGGTACTGCACTAAATCCGACGGCTTGTACGTGGCCTTATCGGTTTGTATGAATATTGATGGCTTGTTATCAGCATAGTTCAACTTGGTTGTGTTCTTGAAGATGACGCCCTCGGTGCCGTCGGCTGTCAAATTGTAGTCCCCACTCGATAGAGTCGGCACATCGAATTCCACATTTGTCGTGGACATAGGCTGCAGCTCCACCTCCTTCGTTTCATTGTAAGATGGCCCAGTGATGCCCACCTTTATAGTGCTCTTACCCTCTGCCTTGTGCACAGACACAGCCACATTGTATTTAAAGTTCGAGCGGATCGTTCCAGGTGCGATGATCGTGTACAGACTGTGCAAATCGAAAAGATATTCATTAGCTCTATTAATGCTTATACGGCAAGACGCCAATTATTTATTTTATGGCTTTCATCCCATAGAAAACCGGATTCTGCTTAGTAATTTATTAATATTTACAAACTGTGTATGAACGATAAGTACTTAGAAGCTTTACTGATATGATCGATCATCCATCATTATTCCTACGAATGTTGTTAGATCATTTACGACCCACAAAATGGTCATTAGATAACAAACCAAGTAAATTAAAAGGAGTTTTTCCCTGCTCGCTTTCAATCAAGCATAGTGAAGAAATTTGTTGAATTTTTATGTATATTCGTCTTTGTGTGTGTGTTTTGTTTTGTTTTTTTTTTTCTTCACACATGCTGGGAGATAACGTAACATGAAAGGCTTTGATTTGGAATGAAAAAGTATGCACAAACTTGACATTTTACGACCATTCAACCGGTTTTGAATATACAATGAAAAACGTCTCTTTGAAGATTTAGACAGCAGCAGAAGAAACCAGCGAGCATTCAATTCAAAATGTGTTCAATTTAATTCTTAGAACTTTTGAGACGGTGATAACTTCATGGGATTGCATATATGTATGTAGATAGACTAACACTGTATATTACTTACCCAGTGGCATTGATGAGAAGTCCCAATTGAAATACACAGAAACAAAAAACTAGCAACCGCGACATGTTCGCGGCTCTTTTTGTTTCACAAATTAAATAAAAATGCAAATTTGTTATTGTTTCTGGAAATAGTTGAAAGGAAATTTAATGGAAACGGTCAGAGAATTACTGTGACTGCTCAGACAATTATAATTTAACAATATACTGGGTACGATATATGTACATATAATAGTGTAGTTCTACATGATTCATAGGTAGCATTGTTTTTATTTATTTATTGTGTTGTTCATTATCAGAATATACATTTGTATATATAGACACACTATATATATATACGTATAGCACACAGAACACTGCACACAGAACAAAGCCCAGCTTTAGTTTGTTTAGGCGCTCGCCACGGATGCTCCGATGATACGAACCGTCCGACTTTTGGATCCACAATGAGCTCTCTCTGATGCGCTGCGGGCCTTAAGTATGATTTTTGAGCGCGACGCGAGCACCAATCGGCCCCTATTGTCTATGTTCCACACACACACAGACACCCACCCAGGTCCAGTGACTGTTGAGAAAACCCCCGCTGTTAACTGTTGTTGTCGCTATGAGAGATCGTCTCTTGTTTAACGATCTTCGGTAAACGTCACTGATGAGACAGTCGATTCATACTCAGCCTTTTTAAGATTATTTGTTTGTTTATTTAATCAGCGAGCAGACGATGTGAGCACACGCCTCTAAGCCACACGTTTTCAGCGTACAAACAATTTTGAGCATTAATCTAATTTATTTGTGGTTTATCCCGCTACCTTTTCTGTATAAATAATATTTCCCAATTCAGTAAAATTTATAATCATAAAAAAAATATTTATAATGACACTGAAACAAATTTACCTCTGGTTACATTTTTAACTATTTTAAATATCATCATTTACCTCAGTCTTTTCTCTGTGAACTGACCAAAACGTCAAGTCAAAGGGGCTTAGCAGAGCCACAAACCTTATTCTACTGCCTCCAGCTCTTGCGATTCACCCTGAAAGGTGACTATAACTACATTCTTTATATACAATGGTAATTGTAGCCTCCTAATTATAAATTAATTTAAGCATTATTTACCTTCATTATATGTAGTATGGCCAACTTATTACTTCAAGTCTCTAACCACAGCAAAGACACCCACCTTTGAGTGAAAGCTCCGCGCTCTAGAACGTTTTACACTCAATGAGAACAGCTTAAGAGCTTTGGCATTGAGTCTTAAAAATAATGAAAAATTTGTTTAATTATAATAATTAATGATAATATGTTTCTTTATTAAAAATATTCTACTGGGTTGTGTGAGTTTGCGTACACAGTTGAACAATTGAGAATATGCATACATAAATTTTAATTTAATTGTTGACTGCCTAAGAGTCAGTTACAATAATATTTATAGGTTTTTCTCCTCTGAGGATGCTTAATATGTATGTGGCCACACAGCTTGCTGTCTTATACAAATCAAAAATATGTTTTTTTTTTCTTTTATATTTCTAAATGTATCACAAATTATGTATAACTTATAGGGCAAAAGTAATCAAAAAACCCAACTTATGTATCGGAATCATATGTCTTTGGCTTTCCATTGCGTTGGGTTTGCAAATCAAATGAAAATGCTTCAGCTAATATTGCATTTGTTTTTGGCCTCACTTAAGTGGACAAATAAAACGGTTACTTAATTTCAAAGATGTAATGCAATCACACATACATACATGCATACATCATGAATTACATAGATTTATTGTAAGAATTGTGATAATAATAATAATTGCTTCATATCACCAGTTTGCCTGGACACAATCGAATTCTGTTTCCGTTTCCGCTTCCGTTTTTATTTTTTATTTTTATTTTAAATTGTTTTAATTTCAGTGTATTCTGTATCACAAGGTTCGTATATTCATTTCAATTGGATTCTAAGCACGTTCCACATTATCGGCTTGTTGAAATCAAACTATTTCAAATCACACGAATTCAAAGTTGTCGAGGGTGAATTTCAGTTAGCTTTAGGTTACTCATCTGGCCAACAGTTGGGAATTACATAGAGAAAGAGAGATAGAGAGGGGGAAGAGAGAGTCGTCAACATAGGGACGGAGCGATCAATCAAACGTTGGGATCTTCTATTGAGCTCAAAATGATTTTCTTTGCCAAGTATGGGAAATTAATTAAAAAAACAAGTGGATGCACAGCAAGTATATGTATGTATGTTAGCTACTTCACAACTTGTCTAAAATTTGTTATAATTTTCAACCTATTTAAGTTTCAGACTCTTATGCTTGGTCACAAGATTTTTACTTGAATGGGCTATATAATGTGAAGGTTAGAACGTGCCTTTGGTACGCTAATAAATCATCCATGTCTATTTATAAATGTACAATGTTAGGTCTATATATGTGAATCTCAAATTGTGTTACTCAAATATTCCGGATCTAATATTCCGCCTCGTATTTCCTACATCGAACAGCTACGATGGAAACAGTATGAATACAAAATCAGCGTACGGTAATATATAATCTTGTTATATCGTAGTTGAGTCTACAGCAAAGTAAACGTGAAACAAAAATTCGAAGCACCATTAAGCTACGCCTATCTACAGTACTCGAACATTAATTCCAATTGCGCGTCTCCCATTTACTATTTACAATAGTTTGATACGGCTACTCGATGGCTCCTTAACGTATCATGTGCAGCTTCCAGCGGAGCACAAAGTATGCAATAATGCGCAGAGCGAAGAAGATTCCTATCAGAGCAACCGCATCGACCCAGAAACGGGCGTCCTCCATGGACATCCACTCCAGGAATTTTTTGGGAACGCGATGGTGACAATAGATCTCATTGCAGTGCAACTTTGCGCGGTCCATGCCATAAATCGAAACCATAGCACCTACAAAAATTAGTCGCAATTAGTCATCAAGTGAATGAGTTTAAGTATTCGTGTTTACCCTCAAAGCCATAGCGCACGTAGCTTACATATGTCAGCCACTGCAGGTAGCCCGGTATAGTATCGAAGTTGACAAAGAAGCCCGAGAACAAAATTGTTGGAATGGTCGACACGGGCCCAAGAAAGACTCCCGTTTCGACATTCATTCCGGCACCAATGAGTAGTCCCAGGGACTGAGCCACTAATGAGTTGAGCACACAAATGAACACGAACATTGAGATGCGTTCTATTTCCATGGGCTGAGAGGTTAAATAGTAGACAACCAGTACGAACACACTGGAGAAGACGATCTGAAAGCGAACGTAAATGTTAATCCGAATGACATAGCTCACTGTGCGCTGTGACTACTCACCTGAAAGGGAATGTCAGCGAGAGTCTTTGCAAAGTAGAACGACTTCAGGGAGTACCAATAGTTCAGATGCTCTCGCTCAAACACCGACATCTCTGTGGGAACTGTGGGGATCGAAGCAGTATTAAGAATATGGGAAATCAGTTATCTGATCTGCTCTATGCTTACAGGTCAGAATGGTGGGCATCATGGCCGTGAACGTCGTGAACAGCGCGACAAAGAATATGCAGCCAGCGTTGCTCATAATCTTGCTAGCCTCGTTGCCGACATCATAGTAGATCATTCCAATGATCGCGCCCACAATGACATGCGAGGCTAGTCGCATGTGAGTCAGCATGCGATCCCGCATAATTGTGCGGAACGAGCGTTTCAAGAGTATCCAGAACTGCGTCCACCCGCTGGTCGGGAAGCCCGTCTTACTGGGCAGCGTAACGACACTCTCGTGGGAGTCGAGCAGCGAAGTCATACAGCCGACGACGGTATTCGTGCCACCGGATACGGCGTTCTGGCTTTGACCACCTTTGGAGGAACTAAAGCTGCCGCTGTCATCGTTGGTTATCTGTATGTTGACGCCACTGCAGTCGGAGGTCTGGGATTGCTGGGCCTTCAGCTTCGGTGGTTTGAGCTCCGTTAGCTCGTCTGCTTCGTATGCATTGGCCGACTTCTCGTCCTCCAGGGTGATCGTCGCAACGGCACGCGTTGAAGCTGCGCCGCTGCCGTTGCCCTTGATAATATCATTGTTGATGGACTTGGCGCTCGATAAATTGACTCCGTAATCCTTGTGCGTGTACTTCTTGCAAATTCCGCTCTTGACAGCCTCGACCAACTTGGGCACTGCCTCGCCGTACTCGCCCGATGCCACCTCTAGCACATAGTCAGCTGGGTTGTGGTACGAAGGGCATTCATATCCCAGGGACGAGAGGTACGGCACCAGCCCGTGCACTCGGCCCTCGTACACGCACTGTCCCTGTGCCAGCAGATAGAGATGATCAAACTTTTCGAAGAGGCGCGCCGAAGGCTGGTGAATCGTGCAGACTATGGTGCGGCCTCCGCGCGCCAGCGACTTTAGCAGCGATATCAACTGGAAGCATGTCGAGCTGTCCAGGCCGGAGGTTGGCTCGTCGAAGAACATCACTGGCGGATTGTTGACCAATTCCAGGGCTATGGACAGGCGCTTGCGCTGACCGCCCGAAAGATTACACGTCAATGTGTTAGTCGACTCCTTTAGGCCAATGGTCTCCAGTATCTCCTCGACGACGACACACTTGGCATAGTTGATCATGTTCTTGCCGAGCTTGAGATTGGCGGCCACCATCATCGCCTCTCGTACTGTCAGATTGGCTATCAAAACGTCATCTTGCATGATGTAGCAGGAGAGCTTGCGGAAACGCCGAAGATTTCTTTCCTTGCTGTTGATTAAAACCGAGCCGCTGAGCTGGGACGTTCTGCAATGCAACGAGACAACGAGACAAGCGATCAGCTAGACAGTGGAATTAGGTCCTCGACACTTACTTATAGCCAGCTAGAATGTTCATCAAGGTGCTCTTGCCCGCACCGGAGGGGCCCATTATGGCCGTTATCTCTCCATTGCGAAACTTGCCGGAGACGCTCTTCAGGATGGTCTTGAAGCCCCGTATGTGTCCGTCCGGCACCGAGTAGGAGATATCACAAAACTCGATGTCCACCGGCGGTCGCTGGGGCAGATGCGACAGCGAAATGGTGCCCTTCTTCTGCCCATTGGGACTTGTGGTGGTGTTGTTTTGTATCTTGGGAGCCAGGCCGTGATTGCTGGGCCGGCCATTGCACAAGTTGTTCTGAGAGCTGCAAGGGAGAACAAAGGATTGCGTTAGCTGATGGTGAATTTTTCGGCAACCAGTTAACTAAATGTAGCCTACTTGACTACGCCTGCCTTCTGCCAGCATGGAGCCCTGTCTTCCGGTCGCTGCAACGCGCTCACGCAGCCGTTCTTCGTCAGCTTCGTCTGGACAAAGGACAGCGACCGCTGCGCGCGTGCGGGATTACTCTTGGCCTGCAGATCTTGCAGCATGTCCGCGTAGCTCTCCACATACGTGGATCGCCTAAACGGCACATTCTGTGCAGCTGCCTCGAAGCTGGTGTTCTGGATGCCCTGCAGCTCACTAATTGTCTGTCGATGACATGAGTCGGTGTCGGAGATGGCACTACTGCTGCTGATTAGCGTCAGCTCCAAGCCGTTCGGCATGCTTCCGTAATTTATTTTACGCTTTCATAGACACATTTTCAATTTTACTACACACCATTCAGCCAGCTTCTGTGTGTAATTTCTGATTCGATATTCTACTGAAATAGCCATTCAACATGCCCAATCGGCAATAGTCAATAGCCAGTCAACCGTAATCAGATGTATGTGTGGGTCTGCCTGCAGTCGCCGAAGAGCTCGGGTCTAGGCACCTCTGCCGCACCCCACCGCACCACCACGGCTCGACAATCAATCGGAATGTTTGTGAAGAGCAAAGTTCAATTTGCGTTTCATTCATAAACTGCCGTGCAATACCATCGGTTGGTCTCTTATTGATAAAAATATGCCGACCACAGGGGGTGAGGGCAGAGCCACCCCAAGACACCCAATGTCAATTGAGAAGGTAGTTTTCGGTGCAAACTACTTATTTTAACAAGTCGACTGAAGCCAATTGGTGATGGATGGATTGACGTTCAATTGTCGTACAATGTGGGTCGGAAGCTGCTCCGATGAATACCTTGTACATATGCTACTACTAACGGAATGGTGCCAGAGCGAATAAACACTTTCTATAAATATAGTCGTGGGCGCAGTTCAAAGTTCGTCTGGTTGTTTATAATTACCGACTCCCGCTGCGCCCAGAACACGTATAGAGTACTCACAAAATCAGGGAACACATTGCGAGAGCTGTCAATAGGAAGTTTACTTTTATCAAAACTTTACACTCACAAATATCAGGAATTCGTTTCGTCTCGGCCCAGCAAACAAAGCGATTTGAATTCCAGCACTGTTTGGGCCACACCATGTTTGGACCGAGTCAATTGTACGCCTATTTAGCGAGAGTAATTATTGTGGCCGGGCGAACAATTTTGGCCACACAAATTACAGCCATGCGCCATTAGCTGGCAACTGGGTAAACAACAGATCCAAGCAGACTGCTGACTGCGGCAGTCGGCCGAAGCGAAGCGCAATCAGCTGTTGGCTATCTTCGCCCGCTCGGCTGTTACCAATACTAAACAGCCAATACAAATAGCCAAATAGCCCCACATACACATGCATGTCTGCTATCCAAAGCAACAACGTCATCAGCTCAGTTGAGTTGTTGTCGGTGCCATTCAGTTTGTATACAGATACGATAAATACGAGTCTCTCTCTTTCTTTCTCTCTCAATGCCGCTGCCCCTTCTCCCATAATGCTTGCTGCTGCTGCTGCTGCTGTTGCTACTGCTGTTGCTGCAGTTGCTGTTGCTGTTGCTGTTGCTGTTGCTGGCGTGCACTGTGGGACAGTTGCGAATTGCTCGATTCGTTTCCCGCGAATTTCTCGGTGCGCGTGCACCCAGCAACTGGCCTGGCCGACTGGCTGGGTACATTTTAAGTACACATGCACTCGATTGCACTCGATGTAAACGAACTCAAGCAGCAACACCAACAGCAACAACGTCGGCGACAACTACAACACTTTGTGCTCGACAGCGTTGCGAAATGAAGACCCGAAGACCACAAAGAGACCACGTATTAGGCATTCATTCTTTGTTTCGATGCCCGCTCGAAAGGTGAAAGGAGCATATTGCTGTATGCTCTCTGCCCGCCTCTCCTGACTTGAATGACAACTCGAATATATGTATGTACATATGTGTATTACACTCTCGCGTTGCCTCGTCTGATAAATTTGGAATACTCCTTGAGTTTATCGTCTACAACGCAGTTGCTGCATGACTCTATTATAGCTCGAGAACTGGAATTCTAAATATAGACTTCTGTATGCAAGCGCTAGATAAAATAAGTGGAGATAATTCAACGTCGTTTCCTTCGCGCTTCAGGTGGATCACCGTTGACCCTTAGCAATCCGCGTAACGTGACGAGCTTGCGCAGTATCACAAATCGAAACTGTTATTGGCCCTTCCAGCTGTAATTGCTTATCAATTTTAATGTCTTTTAATTGGCAACAATTCGAACACCCATTATATTGATGGATTAGCAGTAGGCATAAGGCAGCTGCTGCCGTTTCCCATGGAAAGTAATTGCAGTACACAGTACAGTGAAAACTGAGCGTTGACTGGCCTATCCATCGACCTGTTACATTGTTGTTTTCCACTTTAAAGTTAAGCGGAAATATCAGATGGCGTAAAGTATTAGATCATCCGCGTTTTGTGACAATTAGGCATTTTACAACGGCCAGACTGGGTAACTGGGTAACTGTGCAGCCGTTGCCTAATCTAAATTCATTGTTTCTAATACCCTGCACAATTGCAAACGTGCAGAAATGGTATATATGTGCATGTATTAAGTGGTGCATAAAGCTCATTTATTGAAACCCATTCAAGCGAGAGATCTAAGAGTAACTTTGTGCGAAGAGAGGGAACTAACTAATGGATATCCTCTAGTCGACTACTCTTAGATGATTATGTATGTACGTGCATGTGCGGTTACATGCATGCATTTATATTTACATGGGGCATGCATGTGCCTTTCGTTCGTCGGTCTTAATTCCCTTCGAACTTGGGCGACGAGTCAAAACTCGCAAACAACAAATATGCAAAGCCTCAACCCAAATAGAGAGTGCGAGCATAAGCGATAATAACCGGAACGGGTTCAGTGCATGATAACGCTCTACCCAGAAGCCTGTATGGCACCAATAATTATCAGTTAATTTCTATGGTCTCTTCAGGTAATATCATGCTAAAGAGTAACTGGTATACTGCGCGCGAACATCCTTGAGAGGAATAATAAATAAGCTACAAGAATAGTTGAGGCTAGTCAGTCTAAAAGCGTGTGTTGGTGGCTAGCATGAAACCCTTTTTGGGTTTGCCATTCTCGTTGACCTCGATGTGTGGGAAAGGTCAATATGTCTGTGAGACTTTTTGAGCGCCTGGGGGCTGGCAAGGCAAGGAAACACTTCGGAGGGTTTACAGGCTGACAACTGCGGAGCCCAGCTGTCTGCTAGTCAATGTATTTTTTATTGCTTAGGGCCAATTGAATTGCATAATCGCCTCAGGCCTCGCCTCACGCCGCATGTCGCACGTCGCACGTCGCATGTAGCACGCTTCTGGTCGCCCGACGCTCGATTTTCACCTCCGTTTCTAGAGCCGAATAGCGACGAGCGCGAGTTTAGACATCGTTTTGCTGGCACTTTTAATTTTCTAATATGCACATATAAATAGTTAAAGGCCAACTGCAGCCAACACACAAAAATGAGCACTAAACTAAATAAATTAATGTCCGTAAGGCGACCTCCGGGACCGACACCAAACTAAACTGAAACTGAGACTCAATTCAACTCTCTGCTGAACAGACCCGACTACGACTACGACATCGACTACTACTGCGACGGCAAAGTTTGGACAGCTTGGCGGCTTGTTCGATTTTTCCAAGCACGCGTCGCCAGCACTGCTGAGAGTTGGTTAGCAACAGTAGCGAAGTTGAGTGCCCTTTCCTTTGCCGAAATGAAGTATTGCCATCGTTCGGCTAACGATCACATTAGGCCAAAACATGAGCAGAGCTCTGGCACATGAACAGCCACAATAGACAAAATCGCCGATCTAGTTAAGTTTTAGTGATAAGGAGCATAGCTTAAGCTGCTGGTTTGTTGGCTCGATAGAGTAATCCCTAGTCTGTGCTCGCTATGGCTAATGGGTTTCTTTCCGCTTCGTTTTACTATTGTTTCTAGCAGTAGTCGGCCCTCCTGGCAATTGCCGGGCTCTCATGCCGAGCCGTATACTATACGTAGGTTTGAGTTTTGCTCGTGGCTGTTTTTAGTTGCTCATACGACTAGTTGGCTCGTCCTGCAGACTCTGAGTGTGCCGCAGAGCCAACGATGTTTGCCAGTTTACGTTACTGGGGTAGCAAAAAGAATGTGTCAAGCGCTTTAAATGCTTTTTATGAGTTTTTCAACTTTTGTGTGGCGTCCGCACTGCTTGAATAGAGACAGAAATATGTATGTGCAGCTGTGCTGCTCATGCAAAGCTGTGCTAGCACCTGCCGGGCTGTCCTCTTTTAATTACACATCGCACATTGAGGGTGTTAACTGGACAGCATTGGATTGCACGAGGGCGTCAGAATAATCTATTGAATCCTCTATTTGCATTTTAATTACGGAGCTCTGGGTCGTCCGTTGTCGCCTGTTCAAGGGTATATGTGTGATGTTCTCGGAACGACGCGACGGTAAAGATTTTCCTGTGTCGAACACCTCTTGCTATTTACTTGTTTACCTGTTTGCTATTACCCGCCGACAAGTCATTTCAGCTATTGACACATCACTTAAGCTCGATTAGAAAACATTTATGTGCCCGGGGTGTGAAAATCGGAAGGATCCTTGAAGAACATTGGAACGGCTCGTTAGATATATGTACGTATTATAAGACACCCTCTCCGCCTATTTCTTGGTATCTGCTTTAATAAAACATTGAATGAGCTGCCAGAAGGCGATTCTAAAGCTTAACACGCAGTTTGTGCGCTACTCCTTCAAAGTCAGCTCTTGCCAAGTAAGCTTTAACACTGTAAACACGTATTGTGCTCCCTATATATGTACACTTATATAGTGCGAGTTTATATTTTCTATCGATTTTTCACAGCTGCTACAATTTCTCGGAAGGTGCGCAGCGAATCGAAGTATATCTCGACTGACACAGAAAGCATATCAATTCTGGAGACAGTTCTAATTTTAGAGCCGCGAGCTCTAGCATGACTGAGTCGACATGCTCGCCAGTCGCCTGATTTATGGAGCTATGACTGAAGTGTCCTGAACTGATTTGGCAGTGCAGGAAGCCTGCGTGACTTAATGAGCGCCCGCTCCCACGCGCGATTTCTCCTTTGACTTTCGACACGCCCTATTTATGACAGACTATCTGGGTCATTCGACTTGGAATCGAAGCTCCCACCTGGGTCGCCAGGTATCCCATTTTCAGCACCAACATAATCCATGCTAATCTCATTAGTGATGAATCTAGGCCCCCGTTGTACTCACCCATAGAGCGCGTTGCATTGCTTCAAGTCGTTTGGCTTTTGCAGAGGCAACGACTGGAGCTGATTCAACAGGGGAACTGGCTCAGAGCTCGATTTGGCTGTGCTGGGTCCTTGCTGGCTGGCTGGAAGAAGGGCTGGGGCTGAGATGGCTGTTGAAGCAGTTGTTGCTGTTGTTGCTTCTGTTGCATCTGTTGTTGACGTTGCTGGGCTAATATTGCTGCTTTTATAGTGAACTACACTGAGAGGCTCCAGTGTGGACGCTGCTGTAGATGCCAATGTTGTTGTCTTACAGGCAGGCAGTATGACGGCGCTGCAGCCGCTATCCTTGTCCACAAGTGGAACATTCGAGTCGAGCAACTCGTCCATGCTTAGATTTAATGAGTATCTGACCAAGTGTGAGTTCTAGACAATTGCGATTGGCATCGGGCAATTGGCGAGACTGACTATCAGGGCTACTTATATAGCTTTGATTTGATTATATTTCTATATGTATATTTAAATATGCTTTTGGCCTTGTTTTTCCTTATTTACAGAGTATCTTATATGCATGCTACTGGCTGAATTGGTATGGAATTATTCATGGTTTATGTTTCACAATTGATTTGGCATATTCGTTTGTCACGCAGCTGGAAGTAATGAATAATTCAGATTCTTTGTCTTTTCCTCATCGCAAGCAGCTGGAAAGGAGAAAAGAAAATTCAAATTAGATGCATGTGGACAGAAACTCCTCTCCTAGGGCCGACTGATGAGACAGATTTCTATATAGATATATTGAGCACCTCACTCTCGCAGCTATCGCATTAGCGCGTGTGACAATGATCAGGAGTTCTGGGTGTAGCTGCACCCATCGGATGCTTTGGCAGGTGGCTGATGCGATAAGATTGCAGTTGTGCGGAACCGTTTCGCTATTTTTTCGAAAGCATATATACATATACTCATACATATGTAGATTATAAAACATTAATATAGAGTGCCCGCCTATGTATGAAATTTATTACAGATTTGTTTGCCTCAGCGATTAGGGATGACTGTGATAAGCACGGCGAGCTGGAGCCATTCGGCTGCCTTCTGCCTTTTCTTCCTCCTAATCGCAGATATGTAATAATTGTCTTTAAACTGTTAAAGCACAGGTGTTTTATGCTTTATGGTCTGCCGCTTGATTTATAAGCCATTGCCACTAGATAAATAGCACCGTCTGCAGCTGCGAATATGTCAATCATGGTATGTACATCGCGACAGAAGCCTTTCAGAAGCCCTAAACTTGATGTACTAAGTGGAGCGTTCTGTGCGTGGGCGACTGGCCCTACCTTAAGGCTTAAGCCCCAAGAAGTGGGTTAGTGGCACAAGCGGGGGTGCGCTATCAACCAACTTTTCGAATGTGCACAGACATATTCCCGAATGGCGTGGCACGAGGCTTTAATCACATATTTATAAATGGCATAATATTCATAAACAAATGGCGACCGTAAACAATTAAATAAAAATATTTTGCCAAATTCCTCTCGGCAACAAACGCAGATAGACAGACGGAGAGAGCGAGAGCAAGAGCGCGAGCACGAGAAGAAGAGAGAGAGAGAGAATCAAACTGAGAACGCACGCGCGCTCAATAGATACAGAAGCAAGAAAGATACATATGCTGTTTTATTGTTTCTATTGTAGTTCTTTATATATTTAAAGAAACTGTTTCTATGGCAGCACTATGAATATATATGTATGACATGTGGATGTGGATGTGGATGTTGATGGAGCTAGCAGAACTGTTTATCTCAGTCAGCTCAAGCTGAGGGGGGAAGTTTAAGGAAGGTAGCCCAGCAGCTGCTGGTGGCACTGGGCAGAGGGTGGTTGTGTCAGGGGTCGATTGCATTTTGTTTATCCGCGGAGGGGGTTGCAACTTGCAAGGCAACAACCACCTCTTGCAGCGTAATAGAATATAAAACAGCAGCAACTGAGCCGAGCGGAGCTGCTCGCAACGCAATTGAAAATTGAAATTTCCGAATTGTTTTACTGAAATCTTAGTTTGCAGCTGTAGCTCACCTTAATCACAATACACGAGTTCCAAGAATCGCTAGCGCATGAAACTTGTTTTTCTCCGATTCTCTTTTTGTTTTTTTGCCACACTCTCAACAGATACGTTCCCTGTCTTCGGTCGGCTGTTGGCTGTTGGCTGTTTGCTAGAGATGCTCACTGCTTTATTTTAGGCTCACTTTATTGTCAAATATTTCATATAAATTCGGCTGTTGGCGAAGCACACACCCAAAGAGCTTTTGTTGCTATTTCTATTGCTTCCTCTCTCGCTCACTTTGAATACGTAATTGTTTTTGTTTAAACTGCAATGTGAACAGCGGATTGCGAACTGCGGAGCACACCCAATAGGGCATATCAAGCAGGCTGCTGCCTCCTCCAGAGGAATCGCAACTGTTTGGTTCCTGGTCTAATTTAAGAGACAACTCAGCACATCACAGCACAGCTGGCTGAACAAGGTACGAAACGTGTTTCCTTCGACGGATCACGCGACGAGTTTCACCAGCGACGCTCGAATCGAGCAACTTGAGCGCACCGCGAACGAAAAAGAACTGAAACTGTGAGCGCTGCTAATGCTGCTGCTAAGCTACCCAGCGTCGCTCTTTGTCTGCCTTTTTCTGCCCTCTCTCCCAACCACTGCTGCCAATTCAGCTTTTTTCCCGTCAAATCTGGCTTTTTCCGAAGA